ATTATTATTACTATTATTATTATTGTTATTATTATTGTTATTATTACTATTCGCATTTCGTCGAAGCCATGCAGCAAAGCGGGTCAGGTAATCATCATCCAGAAGATCCAATTCACATGGAATATGTACTACACTTTTATACCCCACATGTTTACCATCACCTCGCATATTAATATTAGAAGGTAATGTACCAATACTACTAGAACTCATCCCATCAGGTAAAGTAGAGGGAGTAGAAGGTTCCTCCTCTTCTTCTTCTTCCTCTTCTTCCTCTTCATCTTCCTTCTCCTCATTATTACTATTATTCTCATTCATCTCATCCATGTACTGTTCATTATTCTCTTCTTCATTCTTTTGTGATTCACTATTTTCCTCCTCGCGTCTTCTCTTTATGCCACTCCCACATTTCACAAAAGTCGACATTTGTTGTGTTTCTAATGGTTTGCGTGGCCACCGCTCTGCCATGAGAGGCGCAAACAAAGAACTAGCGGCTAAGAGATACATCACTGTAAGAGGTGTGGGAATAGTTGTATACCAGCGTGAGTACTGAAGAAGCATCTCACGATGAACTAACGCAAGTGCACGTACACGTAAAATACGAAGGAGTTCATACTGTACACCAATACGACGTTGAAGTGAATCACGTAAGCATTGTAGGATCATGTCTAATAAGTGTTCAGCAACACTACATGTGGACTCTGATTTTGTGATATCATCATCATTATTATTATTATTATTATTATTATTATTATTATTAGTAGTAGTAGTAGTAGTAATAGTAGTAGTACTCTCCATATTGTTTTTCACATTCTGCTGTTGCTCTTCTTTTTCTTTTTCTTCTGGTTGATCTTCTGTGAGTATACGGTATGCCTCTGAAGGGCATAGAAGAGATAAACGATGTGGATCCCCACGTGGTACGATACCAATAAGAAGAATCTCATCAAGCATTAAATCACACTCAGATGAGGGAATCATAATACCAGCAGAGAGTTTATTCACCATTTCATCCACTGCGGTAATACAAGTGGGTGTTAATTCCACTAAACGTGCAAATTGAGGTATCCAATGATCCCTCTTCTCATCTGATCTTCTCCGTTCCTCCTCTATTCCACGAAATCGCCGTAGTTGTTCCATTACAGCTCCTCTAATCGTTGAAGGTGGTATACAAGGATTCACTTTTCGTACTCTCATATACGATTCCTTCTCTTTTTCTTCTTCTTCTTCTTTTTCTTTTTCTTCTTCTTCTAGTTGAACTGGTATTAGATGATAATAACGCTCAGCCACAATACGTTGTTCCTCCCACAATCCCTCTGTATCGGCGGTGTATCCAACAGTGCCGGTCACCCATTCCACTAAAGCCCCCGGTAGTGCCGCAGGAGCCGAGAAGGGTGGAGGTGTAGTGGAGATGCGTAGAGACTTTTGATGTAATTGCGAAGTGAGAGCGGCGGCTTCTTGTAAATTCAATACCGGCGATGTACTCTTGATCTCTTGTGTGAGAGGTGGCCAAACAGTACAGGGAACTATTTGAGAAACTAATGCATATTCCGCATGTGTACGGGGGAGTAATGGTACTAAATTACACATAACAGTTTCATCAATAATGTGAATAGGCATATCTGTTGTTGATGGTGTGGTAGTGTTTCCAAGAGAATGATTCTTATGATTACTATTACTATTACTATTATTATTATTATTGTTTTTACTACCACTCTTCTTCTTTCTTGTCCGTGTATCCTGTACCCATATCACACTTTGGGGAGTTTGCAATACTGGTGTGTTGAGTGACTCTTTTTTATTACTCCCATTCCTGGAAGTAATTTCCTCCTCCTCTTCTTCTTCTTCTTTCTTATCATCTGATAAGAGTAGTTTCTTTGGCTTTTTCGTTTCCGCATTGTCGTTTGATTCACTTTTCTCTACATTGGTAGAGTTTAATTGCTCTGAAGTGATGTCTACAGCTCCAGTCATCCAGAAAGCAAGAGAGGCAGAGGATGAGAGAGTGTGTCGCTCTACATTGTGAGTCTCATTGCAGACTGCAGTGTTATCGTTCTTACCATTCTCCCTATGGTTGTTGTTAAGTCCGTATTCTCTGTTCATTCTCTTTCTACTTGTATTCCTTTTTTTCTTGTTGTTGTTGTTGCGGTTTCCGCTAAAAACACAAGTAAGAATAAATAATAATAATAATAATAATAATAATAATAATAATAATAAAAAGAGTAAAAACGGGGGAAAATAGATTTATATCAATGAGAAAAAGAAAAATGTACTTTTGTTTTTTTTTTTTTCCTTTTTATCCTACTAATTAAACTATAGTTCAGTGTATTAAAAAAAAATAAAATAATATTGAGTAAAGAAGAGAGACAGTAACCCTAATAATTTACTACCATTGTTTTACTTCCACTCTTCAGATATATATATATGTCTACTTCTTATCTTCCTCTTGCTGACTTCAACCTTACAGCTTTAGGCCACTAAACAAGTTGAAATGCTTCATCTAAATAATACTCCAGTCACTATCACCAATAAATAAAATTCATCACAAAAGGCGAACATACACAATAAAAACAAAAAAAAAAAAATACATGCATATATATATATATATATAAACACACATGTATAATGATCACACTCAAGAAATAGAAATACAGTGCAAAAATAAATAATTAAACAAACACGCAATATTCAAGAAAAGTTAACCCAACACTAAAAAAAATAATAATAATACCCTAATACCCCAACCACCATAAGAGAAAGGGGGAAAAAAAAATACATACCCTTTCACCCACTTTATTTTCCCTCTTTCTATCGTACTATAAATATATATATTCCTCTTCTTCACTTCGAACGACAATTCGTCCTCTTCCTACAATATTTTTCAATATCACTATTAAAATTCCCTCCTTTTTTTTTCCTTCTTTTTTCAGTCGATAATAACTTACTTTTTCTTATCTTTAGAACTAGAATCTGGAGCTACAGGAGGTGTATGACTGGGACCACTACTTTTTGTACTGGGACCGCTGCTACTTCCAGAAGTATCACTCTTTGGACCATTTGGACCATATCTTTTATTATGGTCCACCATTGACTCTTTAAAAGATTTATCCCATACAGCTTTCATTTTCTTCTGCTTTTCATCCTCTTCCTTTGTGTCCTGTTCCTCATACTTTTTATAGGGTGCCTCTTTTGGTTTTTCCTCATAATGACTTGCTGGATGTACCGGTGGTTTTCCTTCATTATCCTCAAACGTAATACCATCATTAAATGTAACCTGATATGGTAAAGGTTCACCCTTATTACGATTGGATGTCCATAAATGACGCCATTCTGCACGTGGACCATCTCTTGGTTCCACATATTCACCTGCTTGTACTAAATCATAATCTGGATCCTCACTAGGATCTGTTTCTTTTCCTTGTTTAATTTGTTCTCTAAAACGTGCCTTTGCGCGTTCCACTGCACCTTTGAAATCTTGTGGTCGAATCTTCCCTGGATATGACCATGGTTCCTGTACCACCTCTGTGCGTTTTACCATTTCCCACTCCTTATCTTCTTCTTCCATAATACGACGCAATACCTCTTCCTCCTCTTCATTACATCTTAAGAGATGACCTTGTTTAAATCCGTAACCCTCTGCTCGTCCATGGTGATCTTGTCCATTAAGATATAAATGAGAAAAGGGATAACGTGGGTATGCTTCCCACATACCTGTTGGACCCATGAAATCATAACGATATTTATAACGGAAGGTACGATTCCCATGTTCATCTACAGTTTCATCCCATTTTAAAATTTGCTGTGGAGGTCGTGGAAACATCTCTGTTGGATCATCTGGATTCTTTGGTTGCCAATCCTTAATACGAAAGATCTCATCTGCTTCCATATACCAATGTCCCACAATATCTGATGCTGTATTCGCAACATGCCATCGAAAAGGAGATGTATGTTTAGTATTATACAATAACGGATCACAATAAGAGCCCGGCACCATTCCATACGCCGAGAGAGGAGCAAAACACACCTGTTCTAATCGCTGCTGATGTAAATAGCCTTCACTCCCCGGACTCGTCCACTCTTCATCCCACGTGAAGGCCACCCACGCCCGCTGTCGGATTTGCCGCCACAGTCGTAAGAGACGGCCGGGCCGCACGTTTTTAAATGTCGTTGCCGGCGCCCCGACATCATCGGCCTCCGCCGCCCATACACACAGCAGGGGTGTGGCCCGCAGCATCTCACCCAGAGATACTCAATGAAAGTTGAAATGAAATAAAAAAATGAACTTATGAAAGAGTGATGGGGAGTGGGTAGAAAGAGAAGAAGGAGAATAGAAGAAATAAAAAAAAAAAAAATGGACTATACTCTCTGTGGAAGGGGTAATGCGTTAAGATCGGCAATTTACCCTCTTGCTTCTCTCTGATTCCTTTTATTTCTTTTGTTTTCGCTTACTTCTTCCTATTCTTCTTCTTCTTTCACACTCACACGTTATGAACCCTTGACTCTGTGTCTATATTTGGATCACCACAATTATTGTTTTTTTTTTACCAACACCTACACTTCTTCTTCCTCATACACCAGCAGAAGCCACAAAATGAAAAAAAACAAAAGCAAAGACGTTTCAGTAACTATGCACCCTCAGCAACGTAGGAAGCAACACACAGGCAAAGAGAAAAAACAGAAAAGCTCTTACAGTGCAATACTCCTTCTCAGTCAAAATAAAATAAAAACAAATTAAAAACCGTAGAATGATGCCCTAAAACAAACAAAAAAAAAAGATCATATCATTTTTAATTTACGGCTACCAAAAAATAAATAAAAATAAAAAAAATAGAGCCAAGAAATTTGGGAGGGACCAAGAGGTCTTACGGTTTTGTCCTGTTTGCCACGGAATGCATAATGTCAAGCGCACTATCCTTTTAATTGTTAAACATCTTTCTTACCTTGACAAACATCATCAATGCTACACCCGACACCACCAAAAATATATTATTTTTCTCCGGCTCCGCAACCATTATTATTATTTTTTACTTTCCTGGGCATTTTATTTTCTCCTGTTTTTTCTTTATTATTGTACCCATTAAGTCATTTTTTTTTTTTTTTCACTTTTTCCGCCTCTTACTCTTTAAGTGGCTTTTATGTCACTAACTGTGTGCCATGAGGACACAGTGCCACAAGTAAGATTTGGCTCTTGTCACTTTTCAGTTTTTTCTTCACTCATTTCTTTGAATTATTCATTTATTTATTATATCTTATCTTACGATAATCTCTTGTGTGCATGAACACTGCGCACACAAGAGGAAACAGGATAAACACCCGAAACAACAAAAAAAAAAAAGAAAACACTAGGGAGGGTATTTTTTTATTAATTTTTAAAAATATTTATATAAAAGAGACGTGATTCAGTGAACAAGATGCCTCTGGAAATAGAGTTCTGCAACCTGCCGCCTTGCTCAAATCTCGCCCCCATTATACTTTCCTCTACACTTCATCCACACATTAAAGCCCCTACGGCTGCCCCAGAGAGCTGTTGGACTTGTTGTTTGTAACACGACGCACGCAGAAATACAGCAGGAATGAGAACAGCCCGGCAATCAACAAACCCAGCAAAAAGGTGGCAATCGTAATGCCTGCAATGGCCCCACCACTCAAGTCTGTTCTGCTCTCGGCGTTAGTGGGCGAAGTGCTGCCACCCGCAGCAGAGGATGAATCCGCAACGGGAACGCATGTCTTGCTCAGCTGGTCAAGCACCGTTCCCTTCTCGCAGGCGTAGTCAGGACACGCTGAACGGTAGTTCTGGCAGAGAGAACTGGAGGCACCGGACCCACTGCAATTCATCTGTGTCTTCATCGCCTCTGTCAGGTAGCAGGAGCCCAGTGGACTCGTCCCCTTGGTTGAATCCACAAATCTGGTAAAGTCCGACAGCGGACAGAGATTCTCATTCGGGTCAGTGGCATTCACAACGTACACAACGCCATCGCTGTTTTGGCAACGCATCGGAAGTGGCCAGGAGGCAATACTGTAATTACTCTCAGGTGTCAGTCCAGGGCGCAGGCGGATCACACGAACGTACAACTTCCCATCCACAATTCGGTCCAGTAGCTCCACCACGTAGGTTGTGCCAAAAGTTGGTGAAAAAGTCGCATTATCATCATTATTACCAAGTGTTGCAGCAAAGGGGGCAATGGTTGCATCGTGTGCACTGTAGTGATATATGCCGTAGGTGCTCTTCTCCGTAATCACATCATTCATGTTCTTCAACATGGCCTGCATAAGATCCTGCCCCAAGCTCCCACTTTGACGCTGCATCTCATCAGCTGGATTGTATGAATAAGACGCTGTAGTAAGGGCAGCACTCACCCCAGAGAGTCCCTTTTTATTTGCACTGAGAAGCGGTAGGTTCGCCAACAATCCATTTGGTTCGTAACACGCGGCAACGTCAGCAAGCATCTGCGCACAGTTCACACGCAAAGCGTAGTCCGTACACCGTCCCTCCGAGTGAACTTCACGGGCCACAGCAAGGATATCTTCGTGTGTTGGAAAGATTTTGTCCACCATTGGGGCGGTCCGTTCACGCACCCACGCAGCGCGGCCCAGCTTATCGGCTGTAACCACATTAGGAAGCATCCACGGTCCAAGCAGCTTCTCTTCCGTCAATGGAACTGTGTGAATGACAGGGTACACAGGCACTGTGCCGGCAAACAATCCATTTATGACAGCACTGGCGCTCTGCAGTGTGCGAGGCATATCCGTTGATCGGGTATACACAAATGTCTCGTTGTATACACTCGGGAGAAATCCTGTGGCGACCACCCCAGGCGTGCCAAGAGTTCCATTGTAGCGCTGGCGAAGGAAGTCGCCCATGTTGAACATCTGCTTCTTTCCAGGTTCATTCAGAAGACCACAGGGAACATCCACGCATATCAACGACTCATTGCCGCTTCCAAAGTACCCGACTTCGGGTGAGCGAGCCCCATGACGGTGAACCAACTGCACAAGACGAAGACGAAACTCATCAGGACCACCAGCAGCAGACACGGGGCTCACAGCTGCGAACAATATGAACAGCAGAAGAAGGGGCATCAGGAGTAGTGTCAATAGGGCCGGCAATGGAGCAGAGCGCCTCACAGTGCATAAGCGAGACAATGAGGCGTGATGATGATTCCCTCCCATACTGTTCTTTTGTTACTTTTTTCTTCTTGGTTTTCTTGGTTGTTGTGGTTGTGGTAAAGTAGAAGTTTACTTTGCGGAAATATCAGAATCAAAAAGAAGATAAAAACAAATAGTAGGAAAGAGTAGATTCATATATCTACTATGGCGCATACAACTGGCAAAGGGGGGAAAAAAACAAGTATAGTGTACAGGGTTTTTTAAAGGACTACTATCAACCATCCCATCCATCATCATAAATTATCAGTGATGATCTGAGACTGCTCAGCCTAGTCTCTCCCTTCTTCTCTTCCAATGTCTCCCTCACTCTCTCTTTCTCTCCATATTCTTTCATCTTTTTTCAATCTTCTTTCGTAATTCTTATCGTTCACAGGTTCCAGCACCATTTCTTATCTCGAAACATGACTGTTTTTTTTTTTTTCTTATTGTTTTGTCTTATCTTCGTTATTGCTTGCCGCACAGAGTTCTGATGCAGTTGCAATCATTTCTTCTACCACATATTCCGATATCACTCCAAACGCAACAGGAAGTGGTACAATGGGTATAGTAGCATTATGAGAACTATTATCAACAGCATGAGAAGTACCAGAAGAAGAAGAAGAAGAGGCGTTGTTGTCTAACTGAAGAATAGATCTTAAAGCTTGACAATGCAACACGTTCTGTAGTTTTTCACGCAACCATTCTCCCATTTTCTCCTCACTAAAGCGGTAGTAGTCATCTCCTCCAATTGATTTCACTTCACAAATACGTGAAAGAACTTTCTTAGATTGCATTGCTTCTACTGCTGGAGCCAATTCAGGGCACTGTGCTAGTGCCACACCCCAACCAGGCCATCCATTACTTTTTGTACTGTTGCCATTTCTGTTTGCGCCCATAATGAGATCCTCTGCAGATTGAAATTTATCTTTCATGACATTAGTTGCGGCCTGACGTAGTGCAAAGAAGGTAATATCAAATGGTGTCACGATAAGAAGTTCCTCATTTGGTTCCACTACGTTATCCACAAACCATGTTTGACCAAACCCACCAAGTGGTATCTGTGCCTGTACTTCATATAAAACAACATCCGAAGCATCACTATTATGACAATCCTTCTTCTCTTCTGTCTTCACTTCTGTTGTTGATAGAGACGCTGCTTTTGATGCTGCTGCTGCTGCTGCTGCTGGTGGTGGTGGACACAAAAAGAGTGTTGGTTCACCGTGGCGTGGGTGTTCCAATCGCACAAAAACACATCCTGGACGGAGTGAGGTGATAGGTTGAGGTGTAGGCACATCTCGTGAAGAAGTGGATGGCATGGAGGCTCCTGTCTCTGGGGAGGCACTCATTCCATCCGTTCCAGCCGCAGCCATGGCAGCAGATGGAGAACGTTGATAATCTACCACAGATGAACATGCTCCACTCATTTGATGGTTGCTGCTACTATTGTTAGTGTTATTATTATTATTATTATTATTATTATTATTATTATTATTATTATTATTATTATTATTA